ACAAAGGTAGAGAAAAGGTGAGTTGAGTACTGTGGAAGGAATCGGATATGACATAGAGTGGGGTCATGGCAGTTTGAAGTCGGAAGTCAACTGCCGGTTTATAGACATTTTTGCCGTATGAGAATACGTTGCCCAGGGTGCACCACGTGGAGGTAAGTCGATCGCACACCCCACCCAAAGATATATAGACAACCGTAATTTCATTTTTTATGAGTACATTATTTGAGTCTGGATCCATGCTAATAAGTATCCGGTGATATCGCTACTTTTTCTTCTTTAATCTTATCGTCCAATTAAACTGTCTCTGTTTCGCCCATTTCCATGAATTTCTTATTTTACTAAGTTGTTAGCATCTCAGCAAACACACTCAACATTCCTTGTTTTCTTTTAAAAAAGTATTAATTGTGCATGCTACTTCACCTAACCATAAAAATGGTGTGTTTATCTTATGTCAACAACCTTCACTGTGCTATTGATTCAATTCTCCTGGGTCGAGTTCTTCAGCACAATAAAAACACTTCTAGGCCCAATTTTTCACACTTCATTGATCGAAGGCATTTCATTGCACTTGTGGTTCCTGCAAACGCGGTGGCATAGGGTTTCTCCGTCTACCATTACTATGATTTCTAGTTTATAAAAAAGGCGGAGTCGTTCAGCTGCCTTATCGTATCTCGTTTCGCCAAAACCTGACAATCTGATTTGTCTCCTCTCATCACTCGTCACTCTATTTCCTTCCAATTCCTCTTCTTCTTTCTTCCTCGCCCATTTTTTTCATTTCACAACTTGTTCAACTCTCGGTCTTTTCACTCGTTAAGTCCTGTATCCTGCTATTCTAAGGAGATCTTTTGATCTAATAGGGGAAAGCGAGCCTACTTCGACCTAACTCCTAAAAATTTGCCTTACTAGAGATCGGAGCCACTTTCTTTCTGACAGGAAGTGACAATCATGACTAACTGTGACTACCAAGGGGTTTGGGGTCTCAATGACCACCAGTCGACAGTCGATCTGTACTCAACCACTAAATGAGATTTCTACAAGTTTATTAACATTATTATCATTGTCCAAAATCTAGAGTAAATATTGAAATGGTGAATAAAGGGAACAGGATTGGGAGAAGGTTACTATTAGGTGAAACTCTCAGCTTCTCATGGGGTGGAACTTGGTCCACTATATTCAGCCTTTGATCTGGTTATTTATTTTCACTTTATTTGAATCTATTTCAAGCCAAGAGCAGGTAAATGAAATGACCTGCATTTTTTACACGCCAATGCCAACTAGAGTTCACGGAAGGTGAATTGACACACGCTAGCAAACTGTCTCAGTAATGTGGCACTGATCTGCGCTAAGCCTCGTGCTTTATGACATGTACTGGTATTTTATCTTCTTTATCTTAATTTGCCATTGTTTATGGAGAGTATTGATTGTTTTTTTGGCATCGGGCTAACATTGTTTTCAGGCAATATAAACTCGCGAATAATTGCAAAGTTTGTGCCTCTTGTGACTCAACCACCCTGCTGCCAATTACTTTCTTGTTTTTTTCAATTAACTATGGACGATAAAAATTTTCACATTCCCGGTTAAAGAAGGTGGCTGGAATTTCTTTTTTATACAGATTCTGCGTTTTACACTATGTTATCTTAAAGTATTCAAGTAATTGTATTCCTTCGCAGTTTAGGCTCTACGAGCTTATTTAATTTGTTTAACGGGAATAAAGCCATCTACTCCCTATTTGATCTGCTCAATAATCCTTAACAGGATCTTCTTACCACTGCCACTGTCTAGACTTTCACCAAAACGAACTTCATTTATTTTGCAATCTAGCTTTTAATCTATGTATTTCATTACGAATTTGATCAAATATATTGCATTTCTAATTTTCGAGGACATTCATTATTAGTTCATTGTCAGGCTATTTTGACCTGCCTGTTGTAAGTATTTTAAATTGTTTTAATGCGGAGACCGTAAAAATGGCGGCGAGTTTCTACCATTGGAAATCGATACAAGCATTGGCATGCCTTAATTCAAGTGGAGTGCATAAGGGCGCAAACATTGATATTAAGAACTAATAGGTGAGATTTTACTTTGTTTGCAATTTTTCTCATTTGGCATTGGAGAACTAGATCACAGTTTGAAGAACTTTACTTCAGTAGTAAGAGAGAGAGAGAGAGAGAGAGAGAGAGAGAGAGAGAGAGAGAATGAGAGTCGTAGTAGCTATTTTCACAACAGCAATGGCACAACATGTGTCATCGCTCTTATGTTTAGAAGCAGTTATTTTGCTCTTATTAAAGAGGGGGAGAGAGAGAAGATAGCAAAGTCTGCCACTGATGGAAGAACTGTCTTATTTACGCGTGTTTGTTGCGCGTGTGTTCTCAGGTGTTATCACTCTCTTTAGATCGCATCGCACATGCACCCAATGTTCCCACAGTTATAATACTTGCGCCAATTCTTCATGTGAATTTGAGGAGTGTTTGAGTTTACCTCTCAGTTTGAAGCGGCTCAGGCTGAATGTGGCAGTACGATCCCCTCTACCATCAATTTAATAGACTTAAATCTACCTACATGACGATTTCGTCAAAATGGAAGAAAAGAGGGCTTTCGAGAGTATGAAAGGATTTTCGTATTCTTGTTTCATTGATGCGCGATAGATTTTAGCCTATACAAAGTTAATTATTCCCTATTTCTTTTAAGAGAGGTTCTTTTCAACACTGCTAGCAACCTTGAATCTCAGATCTATATCCCTATCTTGACCATAATTGATCTGCTGTTCGCATTTTGACTTTACATAATGTTACTTTATGGATAAGAATTTCAATAAAATTGTTCGAAGTGCTGGGCGAGCCTGTCGTCAAGGTCAGAACGAATGTGATTTAGTGAGTACTGAAAATGTATTTAACACATGGTCTGAATTTAAAAAGCTTTTGTATAATAATGGCATTATATGAGCTTAATATCTGATCGGTGAGTGACCTCTGTTCACAATGTTTTCATGATTCGCCGATTTCATTGCGTGGTTCTATTTAAATTCACTTTCGGGTTTGCCGGAGATCTATTTTGGGTCAATTCTCTCTAACTGTGTTTATCCAACCTGAAACGTACGGTATTGAATTGCCATATTTACACTATATTTCTCTTATTGAATACAACTATTGGTAAATTAATTACCCAAATCAATAGTAATAATAATAAATTGAATTAAAATAACCTTTTTATAAATCTGGGACCTGGACAGAACATATAACCTATTATTTTATCTGGAGCTGATGCTGTACCTAAGTGTCCTCTAATTTTTCTCTTTTTTTTGTAGAACACCTTGCCAAAGTTCTATCATGGCGCGAGAATATGGAGGACGTTGTTTTCTGCTTGAAACTCCTAATTACCCGTGCAGACAAGGAGTGCGAGTTGAAAAAGGTACTTAGGGGCTCCTCTCATCTCATATTCAACATCAAGCTATTGTTTCCTTAATGAAGGCATGACACAACTGATTAAATGTCCGAATATTTATATCAAATGGCAGGTTTCATGATAGTTTTCATTAGATCTTTGGTTGACTTCGGGCTTCACAGAGAGAAGGAATATCAAAGTCGCATAAAGTAGAGAGGGGGCAGAAGATTGTATCACAGATGAAAAAGAGACAGACATAGGTAGATGAAAGGTGAGGTGTGTACTGTGAAAGTGGTCGAATATGCCTTACAGTGGGGTGATGGTAATTTGAAGTCAGAAGTCAACTGCCAGTTTATAGACTTTTATTGCCGTATGAGTATACGTTGCCCAGGGTGTACAACTTAGTGGAAGATCTGTCTTTTTTCCCTCGATAATGCATTAAAATTAAAAATTATAATTTTTTTTCTGAATCTTAAAAGTTATTTAATTAGACGTTACCAGATTATTTTACTCAGTTAGAATGCAACATGACAAGGAGTGCAAGGTGGAAAAAGTACTTAACCACCACTCTTTTCTCGTATTCAATTTCAAGTTGTTGTTTCTTTGATGATTAAATGTTAGAATATTTCTCAGGTCAAATGTGCTGCAATTAGGCTGATTAGGAAGCCTGCGTTTTGGCTCTAATAATGAAACATAGTGATATATTAATTAATTATAATGTGTGAGAATTTATTGGCTGTCTGGTTATTTAGTTGCGTAGTAATGATGCAATTGTGATTACAGACACAAGTGTAGCTACCTAGTCGGTAAACCTGGACGGGAGGATTGAAATCTGCAAAATCTGTCTAAATGCACCGAGAATATTCAATTGTGCTTTCTAGAAGTGTTACATTCCGAATTTTTGTTTGTAGTTCTGCTTTACAGGCCGCATGGCCTTTCAATATGTTGTATGTCCTTTAGACATGCAGCGGTCTCCTTAGTTGATAAAAACCGGTTATTCTTGGCCAAACTGAGGGGACGGGTTGCCTCTCATTTGACCAGTGGTACAACTTCGCAGATCGGGTCTCGCCCCTCCCACCACCACCCCCACCCCCCCNCCCCCCCCCCCCCCCCCCCCCCCCCCCCCCCCCCCCAGTTTGAATTCTTGGAAGAAATTCGATTATTATTATTATTTGGTTGCCTTCCATCTGAACTCAATAATATTTAAGGGAGTTGAGAAAAATTTCGTAAAGCGAAGGTCACGCACTTTATTGCATTTTAAAAATATTCTTAATAATTAAGAACCAAATTGTATATTTTTTAATGTAATTTTTCAATGGCACCTCCCCAACTTTCCTCTTTTCAGCTCCCGCACAGAGTTTAACGGCATAGCCATGATTCCCAACTTTGGAACTAGTGCGCTTTACGAATTTTCTTTGAGAAGAAAACTTATTACTGGCTCAACGCCGAAATTGAACAGTAACCATAGGTCTTAATGGAAAGTGAAAAAAAGATGAAATGTCTGGGGTTTACCCATTACTTTTCAAATGATATGAAGCGTGATTGGAGTGAAGGTTTGGCTAAAGTCATATACCTTGGCTATGAAATCGTTTTTTGTCACGTTATTGATGCCTAACGATTCAATTGTTCTTTACCTGAAATAAGGACGTTCTTCTTTTCTCCTTATAGTTTCGAATCCAACTGATCGACGCCCTGCTACAGATCCTCTCTTCCAATGACACAGCCGACTCGAAAGCTCACATGCAGGAGTTGAATCGCTTCACAGCCGCCCTTCTGGCTCGAATATACCGTGACTTGCACAACAACTCGGCCGCTTCAGAATTGTTAAATAAGTATCTAGATAGTCGCATCTTCGCGTACTCCACTCTACATCTCAACTACCTTCAAGTCTTCATCGATCTTCTCTCGAGATGTTTGACAACACCCCAGGCGAATTCTCCTGTCATTCAGATTTCAGATGGGGGCAATATCGATGTCAGCAAGATCTGCACGACATTCTCGTGGGCCTTCAAAATAATTGCAAAATCTAGGGTGAGTTGCTTAAACTCCTTTCATCTCTCAAATAAGACCATTTTTAAGTAGTAGTAAGCTTACAAGTAAAACATCATCCTTTTTCTCCTTCACTCGAATTGCAATGGAAAATAGTAGTTTTTGCATGTTTTCAGTTACCCTGTTTTTCGTGTAGCCCTAGGGCACAGGGAAGGTGGGGTGGGGGAATGCACTGGATGTTATTTTTCGTGAACCACAAATTGGTAGATGCGGCGTGTGTGTATCGAAATTGTGAAGGAATCAGAAATCGAACAATTTTCTCCCCTTAACTATGACTCGACTGCAGTTTGAACTTTGATTGCAAATTTGAACTTGACCACTTAAGCATTATTACAACAAAGTTGAAAAATGTCTCTAAATATCTTGATTACATTTATAAGTTGCAGTTATTTGTGTTTCGCGACAATTTCTTCCACACTTAGACTTTAAAGCCTATCTGGTTTAAGGCTTAAAATGTTTGGCGTCTACTGAATAGAATTGAGCCATAACAGTTCATGCTGATAGCACTTATTGTCGTTGTGTGAATTAAGCGCTTTTGTTTACATGCTGATATCACTAGCACTAAAAATACTATTTATAGCTTGAGGGTTTGTAGTTCAGGTGAATAGATAATATGTGAAGTCGTATTTGTGGGAAATCTAGATTTGTCGGGCTGGTCAAATCATTTCAATTTATTATTTCTTGCAGGAAATGGAGATGAAGAAAATGAGTAACGGAAACTCACCACAAGCCCTCAAAGCGGAGCAAGAGTTCGTCAGGACCGTGGACAAGTTCTTCGAAGTCGTTTTAGAAGTAGCTGCAGTTGGAGTTGATCAACTCTTAAAGGTGAGTCCCTGTTCCACTTCATCTATAAGTTGAAAGAGCACTGCCTTAACAAAGCAATGATCTTTGACCTAATATGGCCGAATTTAGTGATGTCTTTGGACGGATTTTAAATTAAATGTTTTAAGATGGCCTTTCTGTTTTGATTGTTCTAATTTTCTCAATGGTTGTTCATTAATTAGTCAAGGGTTTGCTATAAAGTAAGTCTATATCTCACACCCCCCCCCTGCCCCTCCACCTGAAGAAAAAACACAAGTGTCCTCTCTTGTGCACTCTGGTAGCTGTGTTTGTCACTCTCTTTCCTCTCCCCTCTCCCCTCTCCTTCCTAGCATCTTGTATTCGCGCGAGCGCGCGCGCGCGCCTACTTTCAAGCTCTACCTCAGGAAGGCGATTTTATTTTTGTTTCCAATGCATGACTTGAAGCATTCTATCTGCCATGCATTTGAATACCCTCCAAATTGACTCCTTTCCTTCTCTTTTTTTCACCCCCAGAGTCACATATTCAAGCACATATCAGAGGTGATTGACCCCTTGGCTCGTGTTTACCCACGCAGCAGTCTAACTGATTACTTGGAGCGTCTAGTTCAACGAACTATTCAGTGCCCGAATTTACCAAATCACAACATTCTCAGTGGATGTCTTCGATCTGTTCTAATGGAGGATGCAACGTCTCGGAGTATTCTCATACCCCCGATAATTGCAAATTTAATGAAGCTCTTCTCTACAAACCTCGATATAGTAAGATCAAATTTTTCTTAGGCAGTTAAATTATTATTGCTTTGTCTACTTAGACACTGGAACCTTGCCGATCTGAGACAAACTCAATGATGTCATACTTCTGCAATATCCTCACCCTCTTTATGGGACGATTTGTGGAGACAGTGAACGCCTCTCACCCCTCCTGTTCTGATTCTACCCCTTCTGAATTCCACGAGCTCTTTGTGAAACAAGGTTTCTTGAGATGGGTCATGAGGGAGTATGGAAGGATTTTAGTAGCGCTGCAAAGAACAGCTTCCTCAGCGCAGAATTCTCGACCAGCATCATCAGAATTAATGCCTACCACGGGACAAGTTCTTTTGGCTTCTCAATCGCCTGCTAAAGCTCGGTTTCTCTATCTTCAACCCGTTTTGGTATTTACTACATTTATAATTATGAAATGTGACAATTTTTGCTGAATTTGAAAGGTATTAGTTCATTCAAAGTGGGCCATATCGATTTTTTGCAGTATGGAGGTAAACATCAAGCCACAAATTGGAGAATGGTCATGAAAGGTGTCATTAAGAATATTCATACTGGTATAATTAATTGTTTAGGTCGCGTAAGCTTGACTAATATAGACCTGTATCGAGTATGAAATTTCTTGACTAATTAATTACTTAATCGATAGTTTAAATAGCAAAATAGCGATATGATCATTACTTTTTCCACTTTGTCTTTGTTATAAAAATGATTTCAGGCGTCACAATATTGGCCGGGTACGGCTGCTCAACTTTGAGCAAATTTTCTCAGTATTATTTTTTACTGAAGTTGAAATTCATTTCAAATTAATAAATTAAATTAACTTTAATTTTTTATGGCTAATCTAATATACCGTTATTGAATTATATTTCCCAGGAAATTATCGCGTTTTCGACACACAGACTGTAAAATAGTAACTATTGGATTGGCAACTAAGTCATTGCCGTTTTTGTTGACAGATTCACTCTATACTTTCTTTTGTTTTGTTAACGTGGCCAGAGCATCTAACCTATATTTTTTCTTACTGTATGGGCTTCTAGGTTAATTAGTAAAAAATTTTTTTGTTTAGTTCTTTAGTTTTGTTTTTATTCCAATTTAAAAATGAAAGAACAGGACGAGCACTTCCGACACATTTTATTGTATTACTTCTGAAAAGGCAAGAACGCATCGCAAGCACAAAAGAAGTTATGTGCCGTATATGGAGATGAAGCCGTGAGGAAGAAAGGCAGTGTCGAAATTGGTTTGAAAGATTTCGTTCCGGTGATTTTTCACTGAAAAATTCACAACGATCTGGCCGCCCAGTCGAAGTGGATGAAACCCATATCAAGGCTATTATCGATTCAAATCGTCACAGCACAACACGAGATATTGCAGAGAAGCTCAATGTGTCGCATACATGCATTGAAAAAAAAAATTAAAAACCCTTGGTTATGTCAAGAAACTTGATTTATGGATCCCTCACCAGTTAAAGGAAATTCATTTGACGCAACGGATTAGCATCTGTGATTCGCCGCTACTGAAACGCAATGAGAATGATCCATTCTGAAGAACCTAGTTACTGGCGACGAAAAGTGGATAGTTTATAAGAATGTTACTCGCAAGAGATCATGGGTGAAGCAAGATCAACCAGCCCAAACAGTATCAAAAGCAGAGATTCACCAAAAAAGATTATGCTGTCAGTCTGGTGGGGGGATCACAAAGGAATTTTGTATTTTGAACTCATGCCGCAGAACCAAACGATAAATTCAAATGTGTATGTTGAAAAACTCGAAAAACTGAAGGATGCAACTGAAGATAAGCGGCCGGCATTATCAAATCGGCGGAAGGGTGTTGTTTTCCATCATGATAACGCAAGGCCCCACACATCTTTGGTTATTCGGCAAAAATGATTGGAACTGGGTTGGGATGTTTTGTCACACCCACCACATAGCCCTCACCTTGCGCCTTCGGATTACCATTTGTTTCGTTCCATGCAAAACTCTTTAAATGGTAAAATTGTTAACAACGCGGATGATGTCGGATCACACCTAATTCAGTTTTTTAATAGCAAAGACCAGACATTTTCCGAACGGGGAATTTTTACTCTGCCAGAAGGATGGAAAAAGGTCATCGACAAGAACGGCCAATATCTAATTGAATAAAGTTATATTTTTAAACAAAATTTCCGAATTTGCCTTCTTATTTGAAATCGGCAATGACTTAGTTGCCAACCTAATAAAATGGTACATTCAGTTTGATTTTTTTGGTGAAAAGTTTTGTCAACATTTCTTTTGTTATTTGGCTCAAATTTCTTCTCAGAAATAGGTCTGCATAATTGTTCTCCTAATAAATGTTTGCAAAACAAAGCATCTCAGATTTGTTTAACTGTGATTATAAATGCACTAATTCACCATTGAAATGCAAAGTGACAATTTGATTCTGTCAAGTTACTTGTGGCAGTAAGTGCGGGGATTTCTTCTAAACTTTCACAATTCGCATTGTTTTAATATCGCTATTCAAGGTCATTCGTTTGATCTTGTTGTAAGTGGTCTGTTTTAGACAGCCCACATTTTTAGGTGCTATTATATTCCATTGGAAATAGCATGACTATTGCTACCGGAAGTGGAGTGATTGTTGTTACTTTTTATTATCTACACTCTCCCTCCCTCTCCAAAACATATAGCAGCTTCCTTAGCCTAAACCAAGTTAGCACCATCTCTCTCAATTAATCACTAAGATTCAAAGAGAAGGAGGAGGTGGGGG